ATAGTTGTTAGGTTTTGTTAAGAAGGTCGTTGCACCACTGGCCTGTTTTGTCCCCTTGGGCAGTGCGACAATGACGCAAAATCTACTCTTTTAAACCCTAATTTCCTGTAGTCGGGAGTTTAACTCTGAGGAGTCTTTGCAGTCTTGTCTGTTCTTTATGAAACAACGGCCCCGGGCTCTTCGCACTCTCTCTGTAATCACCAGAGGAGACCTGATTCTCCAGGCCCACATCTGTTAGTGTTCATTACGCCTGTGTTTATTTGTCGCTAGTACTGAGGGACCCTATGGGAATGACAGTTCCGCTGAGGAACAGGGAGCAGCTATTAACGGACCCAGTACTTTTCTAATGAGTGTTGCTCCTGGTGGTTTTATGAGGCTAGAGAGAAGGTTAATCTATTCAGATGTCCTTCATGGCACTAAATAGTAATTTTTGAGTGGAATGATGCCAGACACTTAACAGGAAGAGGATTTATTCATTAAAATATCCTCGTCAACCCCTCTGACAGTGTGACAATGTGAGAGGAAACTTCTAAACATCTGCCACTGCCAGGGCTGAATAGAAAAACCACAGGCATTAGCGGGTATTATGCTGTAAGTAGCAGCCATTGTACATTGTGAATTATTTACCTTGATACTGATCACTTGTAATGCTGTGTTCCACAGGCAGATGGTTTAGGTCAAAAGCATCAAACAAAAACAACACACGCCTGGTGTGTTTTGCTGGCTTTTTTTTTTTTGTACTTGGCCAGCTGTACATACAGAACACAATCTGGCAATAACAGAATGGACAATCAACGTTTGCTGAATTCCTGATAGAAATAGGGCAGAATCAGATTTCAACTCGCCGACACAAGTCACTTTGGTCAGTCGAGACATTAAGCTGTGCCATAAAGCTGCCAAGAATGGGAAACTCAGCATCTGCGGTGATATGATAAGAGACTACAACTTCTCTTCCTTTGGCACTGGTGTCCATTTCCTGTATCAAAATACAGCAAGGAACTCATCTCTAGAAAGCAAACCGACAGAGCATTTACTGAAACTGTCCCACACAATCAAGTGGTCATTCTGGATTACTGCTTTAGAAACACCACACATGGCCCAGGGTGTGAATTACAACCATTTTGGCTCAAATTTACAAACTAGGGATCATAAATATACAGTGACACGCTGTACTAATACAAACGCAAATTAAAATGCATCCTGCATAAACTGACTTAAATATATAAGAGATTATGCAAACGCTTATGTCAATAACAAGTAATTTTAAAAAAAATATAGCAATACTTTCATCCTGCAAGTATGCATTAAACTGAACAATTGATCAGTGATGGTAATAACATTTACGATGCTACAAAAATTTCTACTTCAAATAAATGCTGTTCTATTGAACTTTTTATTTATTAAAGAATGTATCACTGTTTCCACAAAAATATTAAGAAGCAACTGTTTTATACATTGATAATAACAATAATTTTAAAATATATTAAAACAGAAAACTGTTAAATTGTTGTAATATTTTACGATATTACTGTTTTTACTGTATACGTGTTCAAATAAATGCATTCTTAATAAGCATAAGAGCCATTTCAAATAAATACTGTTCTTTTTAACTTTCTAGTCATCAGAGAATCTTGAAAAAAACAACTTAGCACTGTTTCCACAAAAATGTTAGGCAGCAACTGTTTTGAACATTGATAATGTTCTTAATAAGCATAAGAGCCATTTCAAATAAATACTGTTCTTTTTAACTTTCTAGTCATCAGAGAATCTTGAAAAAAAACAACTTAGCACTGTTTCCACAAAAATGTTAGGCAGCAACTGTTTTGAACATTGATAATAATAAGAAACAGTTTATTTATATTAGTGTATCTATGATCAAATAAAAAGCCACCTAGAACACCTCAGTAACCAGTTAGAAACAGACTCACTTCAGTAACCGAATAGAAAATAATGAAGCTATGTTGGCAAAATGTTACTGCAAGTTTTGAAAAGTCTAGTTGAAAAATAGTTACAAATGAGGATGTCAGAAACATTGTCTATGCTTAGCAACACTTGACTTCTGTAGTCCATAATTTTCAAGGTGGGGGGCAAGATGTTATAATTCCAACCCACAAACACTTGATCGAAACTGCAACTAAGCTCTAAGTATGAGATGAATAATTAGATGGATACATGTTAGTAATGAATTAAAACAAGGCTTATCCCACCGACATCAGTTTTGCAGCTCTGTATTCAAATCTTTATGACTCTATTGGGACCCAATCGGAAGACACTGAGCTCTTTTTCCACATTACATTAACAGCCGCCCATCAAAGACATAGTCGGAAGGTCTGAAGTTCGCATGTGAACTTCTCCTCATCTCCCTCCAGTCTTGCATCTCTCATCTCCTTGTCGAACACTAATCCTTTTGATTCAAATCTGCCGTCCCTCATACATACAAGGAATTCAGATGTGGAGGCTGGTTTGTATTACTGTCAGTTGGTCTTCTGGCCTTGCCAAAGCGTCAAAGATAACGACTCACTCACTCCTTTACGAGCCTGTCAGAGTGCCAGATATGAGTGTTTGGTATTCCTGGTATGGAATGTCAAGTAGAACCAACAAATCTTCCCAAAACAATATAAGACTAGCTGAACAACACTTGATTTAAAATGATCTACCTGCAGTTACATAGAATATATATTGAATATAATGTACTTTATATTTAAATGAACTTCTTTTAATAAAGTCTGTCAGAGTGCCAGATATGAGTGTTTGGTATTCCTGGTATGGAATGTCAAGTAGAACCAACACATCTTCCCAAAACAATATAAGACTAGCTGAACAACACTTGATTTAAAATGATCTACCTGCAGTTACACTTTATATGTTTCTACATAGATTTTACTCTTCATGTGGCACATTAAATTATTGCAATGTGAATGTTTTATTGTTTTGTCAATGAATATAATGTACTTTATATTTAAATGAACTTCTTTTAATAAAGTAAAAAAAACTGATTCAACCTGACTAAATCAAACCAACAGAAGTCATTTTAGGGTAAAAAAAAAAATAATAAAGTAATAAAATTAAATAAAGTTGCACATTTTCACTTTTTCTAATGTGTTTGTTTTTACTTTTTTCTTACTTTACCTTTTGTCTGGATAAAATGGTGTGAACTAAACATTTTAATGTTTAACAAGCGTGTTTTAGGAGCCCTGCATGCACAGTTAATAATATTTGGTCAGGTAACATAAAAAATGTATCTCTTATGAAACCATTAACTACTAGTTAAATGTTATGTAATACATATTTAAACATTACTAATACTATTATTAATTATTAAAAAATAATGTGTATCTTCTTATGTTATTTATAAATGTTATTTAATATGACTGAATCAACTGTACCTACATTCAATCATTTTTAAGAAGACGTTTTGAAGAATATTTAATCTCTAATCAAAGTCAAAAGGGGTGCAAACCCCACTGACTTTCATTTACGCACAAACAAACACTGAGACATTTCTCAAAATATCTTCTTTTGTGCTCCACAGAAGGAAAAAAAAATGTCATACAGGTTTGGAACAACATGAGGGGGAATAAATAACAACAGAACAAAATTTTTAGGAGAAGTACCTCTTTAAGAGAACAACTGCACATTTTCAGTATTTACAGTGCGGCGACTAAAAGCGAAAAATATGTCATAAAGCATTTGATGGCATTCACAATGGATCCATTTGATTAGAGGGACAGCATGGCCAAAACTGACCTACGAACTCGCTTTTTGCCAAAGTTTGTCAGATGTTGCAGGACCACCAGTCTGCATTTGTTTGTCCACCAGTTGCATTTGAACAATAGATAAAAGGTACTAGACATAGTAACATGCCATCCTGAGCGGGAGAGCGGCTTTCGCTTGTATCTCCATGTTTAATTAGAGGAGTCTGAGTATGATAGGGCACAATGGTGGCTTTGTGGCCCGACTGAGGCAGGGAGGCTGCCAGACAGAATTAAGATGTGGCCCACCGCCAGCGTGGCTCCATGTGCTCGCAGTCCACTGAGGGAGACCAAAAACAAAGCCGCCACCATCCCGCTTCAAATGAGCCCTGCCAGTGTGCTCCTCCATAGCCACCCTGATAAACTCACTGATAGCAGGAGAAAGACAATGCAACCATGGCCAAATGCTTGCAACCCAATCCCGCATTCACATCACTGCTGAAGTAAAAAGTACAGAGGGCCAAAGAGAGTTAACCCTTTTAGAAAATTGACCAACACAATTAGAGCAAAGAAGCAGTCGACCATCGTGTTCGGGTGCAGTAGATAATTGCGAGTTATGTGATGCTATGCGAGCTGAGGCAACCTGTTTGCTCTTGATTTTCCAATGGTGCAATGCTACCAATTATGAAAACATCCAGTCCAATTACACTCTACTGCCATCTGTCCTTCTAATGTAAATCACAGAGATTGAAAGAGCATTCAAAATAGGACAAAACACCCGAGCAGGGGAAGGGTGCGCAAGGGGGGGTCTCAAGCATTCTGGGAAGCCTCAAACAGATTAGTCACACAGAATTAATCTAGACTGGAGTACAATGGTCGCCAAGCTTCTGGCAAACCCCAGCTGTCATTCCATAAAAGAAAAGCGAAATAAGATTTAGGGCTCCGGGTGTCTCCGAGACTTGGGCTGGAGAAGTGGCCCGTACTCACGACCAGCCAGAGGTGGGTGATGCCCTAGGCCCTCTTCATCAGAGGTTGTGTATGTCATTCATTTGCTGAGGAAACGTTCTTCAAGGAGAGAAGCGTACTTTGCTTTTGTTTAGAAGGTTGGGATTCAAATTGATCGCTTGTGTTCTGGTATACAACCGTTTTTTAATGCATCGCTGAAAATTTTAAACTTTTGGAACCGGATCACAATGACATTTCATATCAGTGATGTGTGCAATTCTGAAACAATGTATTAAATTCCTCCACAGGGTATTGATGTGGTTCAGAAACTGCAATTTTATGTAACTGAGTTCAATTACTTACTTGCATTCCCCCCTCCTGTCTGCAGTAGGTTCACATGTACCACCATTTTGGCATTTTTCTGAGCATTCCAGGCCTGGAAACATAGAAACAGGGTTATACATTTCTATTAAGTACTGCATGAGTCGATCCATATATACTGTCTGTCAAAGGTGGTATATCATCCTTAATTTTTAAATATTAATAAGAATATTTAATACACATTCTTACATTTTCAGTTTTGTTCCAAACTATGCAAAAGTTGGTAAGATACTGGGCAAAAACCCGAAAGAAAGTGTGACTCCTAACACCTTAAAGTGATGTTTGTGGACAGAGGAACTTGACAGCACACTGCTGTGAGAATTCTTCATTCTGAAGCTGTCCTGGGGAATGTATTATGGCAAGCTGTTTTAACATTTATTCTTTAAAACCAATTAATATATGTTATGTTACTTTTACTTATTGTCTATACTAGTACTTTTATTTAATTACAAGTAAGCAATCCAAAGTGACTAGTATCTTTTTTTCACTAATACCTATTCATTATATGCTAGTATAACTTCCTATAGTGACTGTATATTTAATTGGCCACTATAACTATTTCTTATCTTATTAGTTAAATAACTTTTTAAGTGTTACATACAATGCCTAATCAGGACTTACTATGAAGATTTATAAAAATAAAAAAATACAAGTAATAACTGGAATATACTAATTCTAATAAATGGGTTTGATTAGTACAAGGGAAACTTGAATATATACTGCTACTTGAATATATATGTAGCTACTAGAAACAGTTGGAATGCATATTAGTCAGAAGTGAATAGTTGTGGGTAAAAATTAAATTAATGAAATGTTACTATTGGTAAGTGACTAAAAGCAACTGAATAAGTATTAATATGTAATGAATAGGGTAGCCTACTTCTAAGACACTGTTAAGATACCTATCAGTAGTAACTAAAGAAATTACAAAAGACACTACTTAGCCAAATTATATTAACATTACTTGTTAATATTTACAAATAAGCAGGCTACTTAATAAAAATAGATAATAGCTGCAAGCAATACAAACGGCTTGCCATAATGAACGTTGGGTAGCATCTAACTGCAAAAGTGTTGAAACTTCAGTCAAACTGCTCTAGAGCAATAGGCTATTTGACACTATTGCACTGTATGAACTGTAGTATCGAAACCGCCATGTGGTGTAACTGATTCAAAAACACATTTGGATGCGTTCAAAACTGTATCATTACGAGCGACGTACGAAAATTGTAATGCCTACTAAAAAGTTGGATATGTATATTTTGCGTAAGAGACTAAGAGTAAAACTAGAGACAAGTTAGCAGTGTTAGTCCAACGTAGTTTTGATAGATACTTCGTGATACCGTTACAGGTAACAAAGTTAAAGTTCAGTCTACAGAATATCAAACGATTTATCATGTCTGCTCTTTATGCCGTTTGAAACAAGTGAATAAGCTGAGCACTGACATCAGTGCGCAACAAGGGAATTCTTCTCGGACAAGGTGTTTAATTGTACAATAAATGTCAGAAATAAACGTAGACTATTTATTAGAAATCATGTTAAGCATAATGTTAGAATAGAAATTGCGACTGGCGGCTACTGAAGAAAGCATCTTATGCAACGTACCTTGCGTCAAAGTAAAGAGTGATTTCAGAAGAATTAGTTTCACGAGGAAAAGATGCATTCCTTCTTATGGATAGTTGTGGGATTCCACGCAGGCTTAACATATATCCAACATTGGTCTGTTCAAGAAAAGGAAATGAATCACGTAAGTATAAAAAATAGATCCAAAAACAGCACTTGTGGCTTGTGCTCGCGAACTCCGGTGCCGCTCGTGCAGTCTCAGCTGAGTGAATGAGAGAGATCATGCATTCTCTTGCTCTCATCCAGAGGCTCCTTCCGCCACACCACTTCACGAGCTGTAGCCCTAGCCATTCATTTACTTGACAAACTTTCTGAAATGGCAAAAAACACGCCCTGCCTTTAAACTCGGTTGGGCATTTCAAAACATGTAAACGGGAAAATCTCAGAACCAAATTACTCGATGCTGTTTAAACTATGATTTCAATCATTATCGAAAGACAACGCATGACATATCGAGTTTTATATGGCTCTTGATTAAAGCCTACACTGTAAAAATCAAGCTTCAACTAATTATTTAGTAACTAGATTCGCAGAAATTTTACGTTCAGTCAATGTCTCTCTTCAAAGTGTTATCTGAATTCTTATTTTGTTGTTGTTGTTTTGTAGTTATTTTGTAGGCTCAACCTTTACTGAACTAGTTTTATCTAGTTTTTAGCTAAAATGTTTAAATTGGTCAAACATTTAGAAAACTACAGCAAGTTGTGTCAATTATAATTTAACCATTTACTCCATGTGTTTTATATGTTACCTCAACTAAGATTTATTATTTGGGCATCATAAGAATTTGCTGTGGAACTAGTTATTACATTTTATATATTTTTGTAGTTTAACAAGATTATTAAAAATGATTAACTGGTGTCTTTCAATCACTAAAAACACACATTACAACACATAATAGCTTTTATTTAATAACAGTCTGCACTTATAACATTTTTCATACAGACTAAACATACAGACTTAAAGAAAGAAAAAGTCACCTACATCTTGGATGGACTGAGGGTCAGTAAATTAACAGCAGGTTTTCATTTTTGGGTGAACTATCCCTTTAAAACTTCAGTTGATAAACATTACATCTGTAATACAACTGCAAAATTCAGTTAAAACTTTGTTTAATGAACTAAAAAAAAAGACTAAACAAGCTAAACAAAATGTTTGCAAACAAACATTTACAAATACTGTTACTGTTACTATACTGTTCACAATTACATCTTTAAAATGAGGTAGAAGTCAAAAAAATGAACCAGGTGTTACGGTATATAAAATCAAGTAAAGTCACATTTATTTATATAGCGCTTTATACAGTTCTGATTGTGTCAAAGCAGTAATAGACAAAATAGGTTCTCAATTCTCCTGCAACACAGGCTGCAACACAGGTCAGATTGAGCAGAGGACTCATCTGGTTCTCGTGGTCTTGTCCCCAATGTTTGTGTATAAATATATATAGGCCTACGTTTTAAATAAAACGGTCCTGCCTGTTGTTGATAAATACCAGTGGTAACGTTTACACCTTTTAAATATATATGTTTTGATAAATTCAGTCTAAATCAAGTAGTTGATATTCTGAAATGTTTACTGGATTTGAAAATAATCCTTCATTTAGTGTTTTTAATATATATTTGTGCAGACTTAATATAATTTGTTTCAACTAAGCCCAAGCAAGAAAATTAGTTCAACTTAGATATTTCTGCCCTCCCAATGTTTTGTTAATTGGATTTTTTACAATGTACACTAGGGGAACCAGTCTGCCTAAATAAAAGACAAATAAATTAATAAAAAAGAGTAGGCTAATTCATTTTTCACATAATTTATTTATTTGTTTATGCCAATTATTATTTAAGCATTCTTATTCTTGTAATTATTATTATTATTATTATTATTATTATGGGGGATTTTGTACTCCATATACACCAGAGATTTTTTTATGCTTGATTTATTGATAGTGCAAAGTAAATGCAGAAAGTTCAAGTGCTTTTTTAAGATAATGTAATTTTGACTTTTAGTATAAAACAGTAACAGTTTCCACAGTAACATGCATTTCCTAATTATTATCATGTGTAGATACAGTTTAAGGCTACAGATTTTTCTCAGTTTGATTTGCATGAGTGATGCTGGTTGCTGATAAAGTGTGCTTAGGGGTTGAAAATAGTTACATATACAATCTGCAGCATGCTGTGGTTTGGGGCATGACATTTTTATTTCTCAAACTGTACACATTTATTCTATTTTGTTTTGAGTCAGACTGTTATGTTCAGAAAGTTATCATACAATTTAACGTTTAAAATGTATATAACATAAGCTAGTTACATTTCATATTCTACATATCTCCAGTTTAGGCACTGATGCCTCTTAGTTGGCCTGTAGTGTTCAACCATCTTAAAGGTGACTGTTGTTAAAAGGAGAACCACCAGAGAGCCATTTGATGTTATTAATAACCGCCATCATTCTTCTGATTGAACTTCTTCAGTTAAAGTATTTAACATAAATGCAGTGTACCATGGTTTACGTGCCCTTATTACAAGTACAAATACTTGTGAAAATCTGTTCATGGCTCAAATAATGCCCCTAAAAAATTAAAATAAAGTTTGTTTTTGACACTGACCAGTATTGTAAACATGAAAATAACAGCAAAACTCAAAAGGGAAAAGATCTTAATTTCATTAAGAGGTGAGAACTCTAGTCAGGTCCTAATTACATCTCCACGGACCTACAAATTTAGGCCGCTGCTATCTATTTTTTATGGAATTGTGCAATGCAAAGTCAGAACATGCAGTGATGAATCACAACACAAAGGTTATTCACGTTCTCACTTTCTCTGAACACAACTGGAAAGTCCCTGTGCTCCATAGCTGTGAACCACAGGAGGAATATAGCAATCTTTGGAGTATCAGGCAGAGAAAACAGACATGCTTTGAAGTTAGGCTGCAATTATATGTGACAGAATCATCTCCTGACAGTAATGAAAGCAACACTATTCAGACCGTGAATGATCTAGGCTTGTAGTAAGCCTGCTTGAGAGACCACATACAGTATTAAGCACATCTGAGTTAACTACATTTAACCTTGGCCAATCAGGTTATGACAAGTTGGGAAAAGACACTAGAAGCAGCAGTTTTGATGGAAGAATGCATACATTTACACTGATCAACTTTTACAGTTTTTTCTTTAGAATACTGGATGATGTGTGGTTCTTGAAAAAATCAATATCAGAGAATGAATGTATTGTTATGGAGTAGACTAACCACTCATATTAAAACAAATTAAGGAAATTGTAACATTGTCTGATTATTTACTCTTAAATGCGCACTTGGGTGGGCTGAGTCACCTGGGTGATTTGATGTTTCGCCAAAATCTCTGCACGAGGCATGATGCATAGTCGGGCACATTGTCGTGATGAATCTGCCAATCAGTTGTATTTTAAGAAATGTACAAGACATAACAGTATAACAGTGAGTAAGTTATGACCATATATTTATTTTTGTGTGAACTGTTGGCTTATTAATAGCACAGTAAAAGTAGAGATAGACAAATAAAACTGTAAATCGCTTCAAACTTATTAGGAAACTTAAGCACTGAGGACACAAAACTAGTGTGGTTGGAAGGCCATTGTAATGGTCAAAGACAGGTGATGGAAAAGGCACTTATTGTGAATGACCTGCATATAGAAATCACTGGCATGAAAGACCAGATTCGTAAATTGTTCTAAAGTTGTATAAGAAAAAATGTTTGAATAATTGTGCCTGGAGCGTAATCACACACAAGAGTACTGATGTATTTGTAGAATTAGTAAGCAAAGGGTGTGACTTGCATATTTTAGCACACGCAGGCAGAGTTTTGTGTTTCAAATACTTGCGGTATCCTATAAACCTTTGCATGTGTGTGTTGGCGTATTTGTGTCTGTAATTCAAAAGGCTTCAGGTAAGGTGAGGTTGTGCAGGCAATGTCTCAAGATGTAGTGTGACCTGAGGGCCAGGGAAAACTAAGAGACTGTAGAGGAGGTGTTCACGATAAGGAGATAATTGGAGTTGTGTGTGGACATGCAGGAACACTTCCCACACTCAAAGCTGGCATCAGAAGCGTGAGAACTGACATCCTATCTGGCACCTGCATGTGCTTGCAATGTTTGACCGTTGTTTGCATTTCTTCGCCAAAATCTCTGCACGAGGCATGATGCATAGTTGGGCACATTGTCGTGATGAATCTGCCAATCAGTTGTATTTTAAGAAATGTACAAGACATAACAGTATAACAGTGAGTAAGTTATGACCATATATTTATTTTTGTGTGAACTGTTGGCTTATTAATAGCACAGTAAAAGTAGAGATAGACAAATAAAACTGTAAATCGCTTCAAACTTATTAGGAAACTTAAGCACTGAGGACACAAAACTAGTGTGGTTGGAAGGCCATTGTAATGGTCAAAGACAGGGGATGGAAAAGGCACTTATTGTGAATGACCTGCATATAGAAATCACTGGCATGAAAGACCAGATTCGTATGACGACTTGCATATTTTAGCACACGCAGGCAGAGTTTTGTGTTTCAAATACTTGCGGTATCCTATAAACCTTTGCATGTGTGTGTTGGCGTATTTGTGTCTGTAATTCAAAAGGCTTCAGGTAAGGTGAGGTTGTGCAGGCAATGTCTCAAGATGTAGTGTGACCTGAGGGCCAGGGAAAACTAAGAGACTGTAGAGGAGGTGTTCACGATAAGGAGATAATTGGAGTTGTGTGTGGACATGCAGGAACACTTCCCACACTCAAAGCTGGCATCAGAAGCGTGAGAACTGACATCCTATCTGGCACCTGCATGTGCTTGCAATGTTTGACCGTTGTTTGCATTTCAATTTGTGTATTCTCTTTTGTAAGTAAGCAGCTTGTCTTAATTCCATGTGTTTCTAAATGACTCCTACACCAGCCAAAGAATCCATTTCATAAGTGGCTCTTTAAATCTGATGAATCACTTCAGAGAACGAGGCAAGCCTTACATACTTGGTGAAATGAATTCGGGGAACAGTTAAAGGGATAATTCACCCAAAAATTTAAATTTTGTCATCATTTACTCACCCTCAAGTTGTTCCAAACCTGTATGAGTTTGACACAAATGAAAACATTTGGTAACCAAACAGTTGATGGTAGCCATTGACTTCCATAGTATTTTTCCCATACTGTGGAAAACAATGGCTATCATCAACATGATTCAAAACATTTTATTTTGTGTTCAGCAGAAGAAAGAAATTCATACAGCTTTGGAACAACTTG